ATACAAGCAAATAGCGGTAATTAACGACAAATACCTGATTAATAGCAATACAATGAGGGGAAGACTTAGTGCCAAAACACTACTCAAATACATTGAATTCAAATCCATTGTATACTTATATATCACTGATTAATGACTTTGATATATAGTCTAAAAATAATTGTAATTAACATTTGATTGTATATTAAGTCTAATAAACAAATCATGGATTCATTGATTGGACAAACATTTTGAGCAAAACTTTGCGGTCATTACTGTTGAACCAAATGATGATGAAGTGAATGAAATGTCTCAGTGAATGACACATCCATTGGTGGTGTCAATGGATTCACTGATAATAAGTTGTGTTTGTTTTGAATCAATTGAAACATTGTTGTGACACTTCACTCTCGACAAGACATCACTGTTTGAGATCAGCTGTCAATACCAAACGTACTGTTGTTGTGAGTCATCTGACAGTGACGTCAACCCGACGACACAACACATAGACTGCAGTGACTGTCAGTCAGAGTGAGACACCAGTTGTGAGACACGGTTTGAGGCACTCATAGACACAAACAGTGATTGGATTTTCATTTCATTTCCAAACCGTTGTTTGCATTCAATTCAAATCCAATCCATTTGTTCCAACAGATCCAACAGATTTGTCTCATAATAATAGTGCAAAAGTGAACCCAAGTTGTGATGCAATTGCTTAAGTGATTCATGGCGATGAGAGTCAGAACGACGCGAGCAATCAGTACTCGACGAATCCATCGCAACAGACGTCGGACACGGATCCGGACGAGAATCCTCACAAACAGCCAATGATTGTCGTCTATATCATCGAACCGTTCACTTTCGGCTCCAACGACAAAGACCTGTACCGTCTGTCGAGTGTGGGTCTACTCCGGTGTTACACAGAAATACTCCGATACCTCCCGGACTCACTTAAGAACAGCATTCACTTGCAGTTAATATCATTGGATTCGTTGCTCTCTTACGGCAAAGATGCGAACGAAACGTCACGACAGGATCAGCTCAAAGAGTTGGCGCTCTCTGTGTTCTCGCAGTGTCGCCAACAGTTGGTGAACCTTTCGGGCGTTAAGAGTCTGACCGGTTTCGGACCGGCGGCTATGTTCGAGCTGTTCCTCAAGAGCAAAGACCCGGCGACTAAACTGAGCCGTATATATACCCCGCCATTCATTTTGGCGCCACTGAAGGACAAGCAGACGGAGTTGGGAGAGATGTTTGGCGACCGGCGCGAGAGGTCGCAGATCCTGTTCTGTTGCTATTGCCTGACGGAAGACCAGCGCTGGCTATTGGCGTCGTGTACTAACGATAAGGGAGACCTACTCGAGACCACGACCATCAACATCGATATACCCAACAGAACGCGCAGACGCAAGGCGTCGGTCAGGCGTTTCGGTTTAGACAAACTCATGCGATTCGTGCAGACAGTGATGTCCGAATCGGTCACCCCCTGGCGTCTCGTTATTGGAAGGCTCGGCCGCATAGGACACGGAGAGCTCAGGGACTGGGCGTCGCTCTTAAGCAAAAAATCGCTGCTTAGATACAGTCGACAGTTGCGCGAAATGTGCAGTCAGTGCTCATACCTGACCCCTTTTGACCAACCGGCCATCTTCTCCGCGTGTCTCATATCACTGGAGGCCGACACCGCTCTCCGAGTATTTCCCGATCACTACACACCTGACGAACGGTTCAGCAGTTCGTGTAATACCTGTAGCCTCAGTACTCCAGAGGACGCCTCGTGTACACACATTCTGGTGTTCCCCACGTCGGCGACCACCCAATCAGCGCACGGAAGCTTCTCCATCGACCCTTTGGGACCGTTGGGCGCAAACATAGGCGAAGACGACTTACTGCAGGCCTTAGACGAAGCCGTCGAAGACGACATTAATGTTAACGATATATTCCAGTGGACAGAGAGTCCCCCACAGAGTCCAAGTCTCGGACAAGTGGACGGTCTCTCACACCCGGATAGTCCCGGCAATCGTCAGACAGGATTCGGAGTATCGGGTTCTATGAAGGCATGGATTTTCACATATTTTCATTCAATTCATTTGATGTTTGCTTTGAAGGAGTGCTTTGTTTGCATTCATTTAATTAGCGCTTATATTAATGTTTGCATCGATTGTCTCATTTCAGACGTCAAACAACTTTGGTGTCGACATTCAGGACGAACCGCTGCAACTGTTACAACAACCCCTGGCGCTGGCCTACTATGTGTCCACCGCCAGAACGGGTCCTCTTCCGCGTTGGTTCTGGTCTTCTTGTCCTCATATGGAGACCTCGTGTCCCGTATTTCTAAAGGTTTGACTGTTTTTTCAATGAGATATCTATGAAAAGAGTTGTAAACGTATGGTATCTATTGGACAGTCGGCTCTACTCATACACACGCCATGTGTTCAACAGAACTCCGACGACTTATTGCACTCAAACATTCGTAACTATCATTCGCTTGACTCCAATCTCACGACTGATGTCTTGAGGTATTTATAAGCGTTTGTTTGTACCCCAAGTGAATCCCCTATTCATTGATTGTTTGTCTGCAAACAGATGTGTTCTCGAGGGCTATAACGCCTTGTCGTGGCTTTCGGTGGACCCGTCAACCCATGACCGCACGTCTTGCCTTCCAATACATATACAACTCCTGATGCAGCTCTACCACAGTGTCCAGGCATTGGTTTAGCACTCATTGGCCTCTCTTTCTCTCTGAAAACTCTGTTTTTATCGTTAATATAATATACAGTAATATATATATTATATGACTCTAAATACGGACCAAACGCGCAGTCAGTTTAATGAACGCCTTTTGTTTGGACTCTTGAGTTGACGATTAATTGTAAATTATTTGTTGAGATTTTTGTGTCAATCCATTGGATATATATTTATATACAAATAGTGAACAGTTAGGTGGAGTCGGAAAGGGAAACCCCTGATTCTCTTACTTTTATTGTTCGTTTCGTTTTTCAAATAATAATTTTCGTTTGTTTTGTCAATTTAAAGATAATTATTATTAAAAACAAAAGTAATTTATTTGTAAATATTAATTAATTAATTCAATTATCATATGATTTGAGGGCTTCTCCTAATCAGTGATTAACATGAGATTTAATACTAACGAATCATTTATTAGTTTATTTTTTGCAACACTTTTTAAATCAATTGAATTATATATTATATAAGTTTTATATAAACCTTCCCTTTTTTATGTACAGACAAGGCTATAACATATAATTATTACTATTATTACTATTAATTATTATTAGGACTCATTGTAGTTATAGTTGATTATGAAACAAATGAATTGTATAAAAAAGTTGATAAAATAATTGTAATACTGGTATTGCAATAATGTATTGCATTTTTTCATACAAATTGGTAGTAAAGGCAGAGTCCAAAGGAACGGTTTATCATCTCTTGTATTATATACTCATTAATTCTCTCTCTTTTTCTCTCAATCTTTTGACAAACTGTTGAATCATTTCTAATAAACCACTCATTGATTAGTGATGAAAGACTTCCGTATTTTGTGAATTCATTTGATAACTTCCTTATCCACTGCCAAAACGCTACACATATTTCATTGAGAAAAAGACAAAGTTTTAATATATTTGTTGTTTTTAATTAAGCTCTTAGTTTGAATTCCTGTCGACCCCCCTTCCCACCCCCTCTGATGCCTACGAAGTGAATGTTTAGTTTAATTTTAGAGTTAATTAGGAAAACAAAGCGAACGAACATTTATACGACATCTAAATGATTATGAATACTGTATGAATACTGTATGAATACTGTATGAATACTGTATATGATTTTTATTTGTCAATACAATTGTTTGTTATTTTGCACTGTAAAACAAATCGACGGCCAAATCGCACCCAGACCATTTGGCGTAAATCTATGTATTTGTAAATAGAAATGATATTATATATAAATAATTCTATACATAAAAAACAAGACAATTACAAAATGCATTTTCAAAGAACACACACAAAACACTTCTATGAGAGAGAAAGTACAGACAAATGAAACAATTTTTCCATAGAATTCTATTGACTATTATTATTATATAATAATTATTGACAAATAATACATTTTATTTGAAACAAATTTTTGTAAATATAAAAATACAAAATACTTTAAAATCATAGTTGGGATTATTATTATTCATTGAAAGACACTTATTATATAAGAGACACTAAACTCTCGGCTGAAGTGCACTCCCGATGAAGAGTGCCGTACGTCTGGCCGAACCATACAAACAAAAACTCGAAGAAATATTTTTAAGTTCAATAAAAATCATTTCATAAATTATACGATCATTTGAATCTTTATTTGACAACAAAACACTTATAGAAAAATAATACAATCCATAGAAAAAGAAATCGTCAAAATCGACGGTCAACTCAATACTACTGTAGCTCTGGTTCTTTGGACTAATCTCTGGATAATTACTGGCGATGCGATCATTCAGTTGCCATTCATTGGTCTAAGAGGTTGGGTCTCTGTTTGTCGCGATTCTGTTGCAGGTATTCCCGGAACTTGAATCCATACAACTCGTGGATCTCAGCGAACGGGCGCCGAGTGAACAGAATGCCGGTGTCCGAGGGCTGGAAGCTCTGGCCCACGGCTTTCACGTCCATTAGATCCGGCACTTCGGCGTCGAACGGATTGATGCGAGCGCTGTGTTGGCCACCACTGCCTCCGGCGGCGGCTGAGGCACCGGCGCTGTCCCTCTGACGGCGCCGGTTATCCTGCAGCTGATGGATGTCGTCGAGTCTGGTCTGCAGTTCCGATACAATCATCTTTAAGTAGTCATACGAAGCACAGCTCAACGCCTTCATCCAGGACTCCATGTCCTGCTGTGAATCGGTTCCCAAGACATATGTCCGCATTTGGGCGCAACTCTGTTGGCTGTGGTTGTGTCCGACCGTCTGGTTGTGGTCATCGGATCCGAAGTCTATTTTGAAGGCAAACATTTCCGTCTCGTGTTCGGCCAACTCTACACGACATCCCTCGAGGATTATGAGACCCAATGGCTCGCGATCTGTCCTCTTGTCGAAGTAGTAGAAGAGGTTTCCCTTCAAAACACACCATCGCTTCTGAAACGACTTATTCAGGTCTCCCCTCTTCCACAGCCATCCGCTCTTGTCTTCGGGCGTCTGTCGCGAGTGCACCACTTGTACGAGTGTCCGCTCATTGATCTTCATTGTCATCACCACATCCAACACACCGAGTAATCAACTCATCCACAGAGAGATATCTGGCACTCGCTGTCAATGGTTGAGTGAATCACTTAAGCAATTGCATCACAACTTGGGTTCACTTTTGCACTATTATTATGAGACAAATCTGTTGGATCTGTTGGAACAAATGGATTGGATTTGAATTGAATGCAAACAACGGTTTGGAAATTGCAAACACAGTCCCATCACTAAAGTGCTTCGCGACGGTATCCTACGGGTGGGCACGCGATCGGCCAAGAAGTTGGCCGACAGTCCCATCGACGAGTGGTTCGGTACGATAGGCGAGGGCAGTGTTGCATCCAAACTGCGAATGTACGCCCAGGCATGTCGTCACCACTTGGCGCCACATCTCTGCACACAATCACTCGACAAGACTTTGTTTGAAACAAATAAGTCAACCGAAAGTACAAATGCAATGAATGGCAGCACAAACATCAGTGGCGGTGGAGTGGGCGCCGGTGTTGGAGGCCTTAACAGTGCGAGCAATAAGCCGACGACTAACTCGCCGATGCCTAACAGCACCGGCGGTGACACCAACAGCAGCGAGAAGTCGACCGGCGATGAGAGTCAGAACGACGCGAGCAATCAGTACTCGACGAATCCATCGCAACAGACGTCGGACACGGATCCGGACGAGAATCCTCACAAACAGCCAATGATTGTCGTCTATATCATCGAACCGT